CACAATTGTTAACATTTTAAATGTTATCAATAATAATTATCAATTTTTTAATATCAGCTTACTCTTTTTTTTTTTTTGATATTTGAAATATTCTTTAATTGAATATAAATTTTATATGTACCCTGTTTATATATGTAATATGTCTTAATGTTTTTGATTAGTTTTACTAGAGAAAAAGTTACTTTTTAAAAATATTGATAATAAGAACACATTTTTATTTTGACTTCTTGATATGTATACTTAAATTTAATCGTTGGTTTATGAAAATAAAGAAAGTAATAAGGTTTTCTTACATAAATAAAGCCATAAAAAATTGAAATATGCCTTTAATATCTGAAAATAACTCTGAAGTAAAGGAATATAAGAATATAACTTTATTTATTGAACTTTTAATTAATTTATTTTGTATAAAAATTAAATTTTAGAGTGAAAAAATATCACCAAGCTCTGTTATTATAATACATCCTGGATCTCTTAATTTAAGAATAGGCTGTGCAAGTGATGTTACACCACATACTGTTATACATGGTATTGCAAGAGCTCAAAAAATTCAAGGAAATGATAGAAAAGACCAAATTTTAACAAGTCTACCTCGAAAAGTATTTGAAAAATATTAATATTCATTATATTAGTCTTAAGTTTTTTTTCTTTTTTGTCTAAAGAACTCTGACACATTGGCAACAATGGAAGAGAGTAGACTTCAAGCTTCCCATATGTTACAATCTAGCTTGCAATCTAATGGAGATCGGAGATATGCAACTCCTCCACAGCAAATAGCTTCCTATAACCGTAAATCTGTACCGAAGCATCTAGATATTCCACCAAAGCAATACATTAAACCTACTAGTGATACAGTATTTGGAGATGATGTAATTTTCCTCATAAAATAAAATAATATTTTGTCTTATGTACATTTTAATTATTAATTAATATGAATTTCAGATTTTTAATATTGATCCATCCCTTAACTATAATATTTATTTTCCAATAGTTAATGGTGATTTAAATGTTACTGGAAAAATAGGAGGCTCACTTACTGCTGTTTTATCAGATCTAGAAGCTATTTGGACTTTTTATATTAATAATTTATTGAATGTTCCTACTTCTAATTTCAAAGTAAGAATATTTTTTAATCTATTTAGTATTATTCTTTGTTCTACAATAAGAAGAGATAAGGAAATATATGCTTTTTTAATTAACAATTCTGACATTTTTAAATGATCATTTATATGATGATCAAAATTAAAGTCGTATAATACTCATACATTGAGTTTTCGAGGAAATATATTTATAATATACAAATGTAATAAATTCCTGGACATGCTTTTGTATGTTATGTTTATTAGTTTATTTTGTTTAACAAATGACAGTCCAATATA